ATTGGCCATTGGGATTTCGCTCCTCCAACTTGAAATACTTCAAAGTTAAAAAAAGAAAAAAAGATGATCAAATATAATTAAAAACAATTATTTTATGTATTATCATGAATTATATAAAAAAATAACTTTTATTTTTTTTCAAATCATTCATTGTTTAATTCAAGGTTCAAACTTTAAATCTCTTTTAAGATTTAAATTTAAAATTTTTAATTTAAAATCTCAAATTTTTAATCAATTAAGTCATCTATTGAAAATATTATTATAAATAAATCAGAAAAAAGAATACCTAGATATACTAAATATTAAATTCGTACATCTAATATAATCAGAACTTTGCTCCTTTAGAAGATCAACAGGTTATTATTGACATCATAGTTCAACTTCTCCAAATTCGGCTGCACTGCAAACTGTATCATGGGGGGCGGTCCACAAGTCAAAGCAAGAGTATCGTCTGACCCTGGGGGAAGGTGCTCCCTCATAACATCTTCATTGATTCGCCCCACACTATACTGCCAACCTTCCCTAATGGACTCACTAATCACATACCATACCTTCAACCTCTGATCATGCTTCTTAGCCCACCCATCCAACTCTTCCCTCAGTAAAATATCATCCTCCGTTCGATTCGCATACACCACATGCATCTCTGTTTTGTCCTCAGGATCCTTTAAAATAGCTTGAACCACTTGAAAAATGGGCGTGATCCCTGTTCCACCGGCCAGCATTGCCAGCTTTTTAGCAAACTTGGGTTTGCCATGGACCAGAAAGTTGCCACGACCAGTGTATTCGATGTGACCCAGCGGACCCTTGACGTCAATAACGAATCCCAGCGGCAGGGATTCGAGATATTGTGACATGAGCCCTCCATTAGGGAAATTGGGGTGCACTCCCTTGAAATAAATCTTCACGACCAGATCAAAGTGTCCCACTTCATCAATACTGCTGCTGGGCGTGTACGCTCGCATGCACAACTTCTCATCAATGGTCGCGCAAAGAAATATGTGCTTACCCACTGGTAGCCCCAGTACCTGATCCTCCGATGGCAATGCAAATCTGAACAATCTCGAGTCGTGGGATAACGATCTTTTGGCAATTAGTTTGCAAGGGATTTTCTCGCGTGGAACAAGTGCTACCGGCCTTGTGGGTGCAATTACTTCTTTGATTGGAGCTAAATGTGCGTTATTGGACGCACCATGGACGGAGTGGTTTGGGGAGGACGAGTCGGAAGAATATCCTGAACCCGTCGCGATTAATTCTCCAATTCGATAATCCTCCAGCATTTTCTTGGCTTTATCAGAGTGAATGGCATCGAATTCTTCAGTGCAGTCAGCACCGGCATTGATCAAGATGCTGTCAGTACCGCCAGGATGATCCTTGAGGAATCGGGTGCAATCATAGATGTGATCGTGAACTATAATCCAAGCAGAGTCGACAGAGTTGTGTTTCTTGACTTCGGACATGGAGAATGTTTTGGAGGAAGTATTCATGAACGGAGAAGAAACGCTCTTTTTCAAGGCCTGGTTGGCCTCCGTTGATTTCTCCTGATGCTTCTCCCTAGCCATCCATCCACCTGATTGGTTACCGGGCACGGTGGGGTGCTCAAACACTAGTCCGATTTCCCCTTTGTGTGGCCGGCACATGTTTGTTTTTACCCGGAACCAGCAGTTGTTCATCATTCCCTGTCACAGACATTAACTTCTTTAAGAATTACTGTAAATAGTATATTTCAATAGTAATTAAATTTACAATTTTGAATTTTCCTGAGCTTGAAAAGTATTGTTAATTTTAAGATATTGAATGGAAGTGTTATAATTTATAAAATTTCATTTAAATGTTGCACATATATATTGTCGACATATATAACATAATGGACCGATGATATTTTGACACATAAATTGACTCTTTATATCTGTTAGATGTGTGACGATGTTATGGACTTAAATGAATTTAATTTCCATGAACTGTCCGCATGCAACGTTGCAGTCTACATCTGCCCGTAAGATACAGGGGTACGTGCGAGAAAGAACATACCATGACATTCCAAATGAGCTTCTCCGGCTGGGTGTTGTGGGTCTGGTCCCAGGCACGAACGGCGATCTCCTTGGCTCCTAGCAAGTCCAGCACCTCCACCTCAAGAGACCAGAAGCACCAGCACCAATATTTACCGTACTTATTGGGCTTCTCCGAGTGGTCCAGCGTGCACACCCGCCACGTTTCTCCTCCATCCATCGTCACCTCCACACGAGTCACTTTCTTGCCCCCTCCTGTTTGATTCAGCCAGCCCAAGCTCTTTAAACAACAAGATCATTTGATTTAAACGCAGGCAAAAGACAACCAATTTTTTTCTCTTTTTTGGACTGCAACTTTCAGTCATGTAATTTTTCCTATTTTTGAACAATGCATGAATGTGAGACCATATTACTTAATTAGCCATGTCGGCCACATATTTTACAATACGTCAGAAAAGAATATACATAATTTTAAAAGAGAAAACTTTACAAAATAAACGGTATACAATTAGTTTTGTAAAATTATATAAATGTTTTTAAAAGATAATATAAAAATAAATATAAAACAATTTAAATAATTTTATAAAATAAACTACACACAATTTATTTTGTAAAACAATTTTAAAATTTTAAAAAGAAACACAATTTTGTAGTGATACGAAATTTCCCTCATACGGCAAGTGAAAATTTGAACCAATTTTTACCACATATACTACCATATATTGTTGTTTCAAGATTAAAAAAGGGTAAGACTGAAGCTATTGTCATGACAAATTTCTTAGTTAGGGTAAAAAAAAAAAAGAATGAAAATTTGTCAGTTCTTAGGAAGTATCATATTGTAAAGTCAGATACGCAAACTATAATTTTTTTCAAAGATTCTTTTCTCAAACAGAAACAGAATAGATCTTGATGTAATTCAATCCTCCAGTAACCAAACAAGATGTGACACTAAATAAATTACTTTAAAAAAAAATCTGCTAATGACTGACCGGAGTATGCGTAGCCCCTCAATGTATATGGCCTCTGGGTAGTCCAGGAGTTAATTGGCAAGATCTCTTCGTGGCATGGCGTCGTTATCACCGAGTTGATATTCAGCTCATTGATGATGTACTCGGGCTTATACCACCAGGCTTCATTCATGAAATTAACAGCATCAATTACCATAATCACAAGGTAGAAAATTAATAAGAAGTCTCATTGTCATTCGCCATTCATACCTTCTGCATTCGCCAACTCTGCATCAACATGAGAAGGGAGGACTCTGTTGTCCTTGTAATGGTAGTAATTATCAGATTCTTGAGTGGTAACTATAATCCTCTTTAGCCATTTCACCATACGCCCTCCTATGAATCCTGGAATAATCATCCTTACGGGGAAGCCGTGATCAGGCGTTAAAAGCTCACCGTTTTGCATGTACGCCAGAATTATATCCCGAGAAGGATCCATTGCAAACTCCTTCTTGATGCTGGTTCCGTACTTTGACCCACCACCACCAGGCAGATCCTCTGCCCCTTCAAAACATACATTCAGGGCCCCTTTTTTGCTGTTAAAGATTCCGCATCTCTTGAGCACATCACGCAACATTATGCCCCTCCATACGGTTGTGGATATACCGGCGGCGCCCCAGTTGAATCCTATTGTCTGTTTCACCATGTTTTGCTCCTTTCGCCTGTTTCCGGCGCAAACCAATGTCACGGGGAGCTCACGACTCGGGAACTCACTCACCAGCTGGTCCATGGTGAAAACTGTGGGCCGCTTTACCAAACCCGTTACCTCTACGGTCCACTCGTCCCACGAGCCTTTAGGGACTGTGCCGTGGTTGCGCACGTAGTGAAGCGGTACCGGGGTGATGAAGCCATGGTGCATGAGGCGGTTAAGCGGAGGTTCAGAGTTGAAGGGGTGCTTCCCTGTGAGACGGACCATGGTGGAGTTGCGCTTGATCCAGTTATCGGAAGTGCCTTCGTCTCTGGGGTCCAAAATCGACGGCTCCAGATCGTACTTGGATTTGGCGACCAGCTCCTCGTAATGATTCTCATTTTCTTCGTCCTCACTGGAAGAGCAGTCATCGTCGCGATCGACGTAGACGGACCTGGTGTTGGTGCGGGATCTGCCTGGTGACTCCTGGCGGTGGTTGAGAGTTGGGCCTGGCTTCAAGGGCCTAATGATGCCGTTTAAGGCCGGCTCTAATCGTCTGAACTGGCTATTATCGACTGAGGCCGCCATAGTCGGCTGAAAAATATGCAAATTTCTCCTCCGAAAATGAGGGTGGGAAGGAGGAATTTATATAGCAGAAGGACACGAGGAGTTTGGGGGAGTGGGC